GGAAGTAGTTGTGGTCTGAGAAGAGACCGAAGCCAGAAATACCGGTGATGAAGAATCATCCACCGGGAAGAAGAATCAACCAACGGGGATACAAAGGTGTAGAAGATGCTATAGTGTAGGGTTTGAATATGTATTCAATTGTTTACCATCAATAGTACAGAGTGTATATATACATGTAGAAGCGAGAGTAATATGTTAACTGAATCACATAATACAAAGAGAATATTAGTAGTTGATATAATCAGGGGATATGATTGAGATATCCTTCCTTTACGCCCCCGCAAGATGAGGATCGTGCGCGAGCCCAATCTTGACTCGTAAAAGATCGAACCTCGCGCGAGGAAGTGGTTTTGTGAGCGCATCTGCGAGTTGGTCTTGCGAAGAGACGTGAGTAACCCGGAGATGACCATCTTGGACGAGCCCGCGAATGAAATGATAATCAATGGTTACATGTTTCATTCGGGAATGAAACACCGGGTTTGAGCATAAATACGTCACACCCACATTGTCGCAATAGATTACCGGTGGGGTCGAGATCTTGATGTCGAGCTCAGACATGAGTGAGGAGACCCAGAGAACTTCCGAAGCGGTGGATGCTACAGATTTGTACTCAGATTCGGTCGATGAACGAGCTGCGATGCGTTGCTTTTTCGAAGACCAAGAAATTGGGTGGCTGCCAAGATATATGATATGTGCACTCGTCGAGGTAAAGTCATCTTTATTGCCACCCCAATCGGCATCGGAGAAAGCATGAAGAGTGGCGGAGTTCTTGGAGGACAGAAAAATCCCGAGAGAGCTTGTCCCGAAAAGATAGCGAAGAACACGTTTGACGACTTGCCAGTGATCACTTGTTGGCTGATGCATAAACTGAGATAGTTTGTTGACGACGAAAGCAATGTCTGATCTTGTGAAATGAAGGTATTGAAGACTGCCAATAACATTTCTGTACTCCGTTGCATCTTCCAAAGGTGTGCCCATTGCGAGAGTGAGAGATGACGTCGACGGCATTGGAGTAGAAACCGGTTTTGCTTGCAGCATGTTTGTGCGACGGAGAAGATCGGTAATATACCGTTTCTGCGTAAGGTAGAGGCCATCGGTGGTTCTAGTCACTTCAACCCCCAAGAAGAAGGATAGAACACCAAGATCTTTGATGGAGAACCTGTCGGACAACATCGAGATGAAAGTATTGCAGCGAGTAGAGTTGTTACTGGTCACAACTATGTCATCAACATAGACGAGGAGGTATATGACGGTGTCGGCTTTGCGAAGGATGAAAAGAGAGGTGTCCACCAATGAGTTGGTGAAGCCCGAGTCGAGGAGAAATTGACGGAGCTCATAATACCAAGGTCGAGGAGCTTGTTTAAGGCCATAGAGAGCCTTGTGAAGCTTGCACACATGAGTTGGGCGATCACAGTCCACAAACCCGGGAGGTTGAGTCATGTAGACATCATCATTAAGGCGACCTTGGAGAAAGGCGTTGTTGATGTCTAGTTGACGCAAGGACCAACCATGAGAGACGGCAAGACTTAGGACAAGTCGAACAGTGGTCGGTTTGATCACCGGACTGAAGGTGTCATGGTAATCAACACCGGGCCGTTGGTGAAAGCCTTTCGCCACGAGCCTCGCCTTGCACCTGTCAAAAGAGCCATCAACACAACGTTTAGTGTGGAATACCCATTTGAACCCAACTATATTTTGAGAAGCATCCGATGGAACCAAGCTCCAAGTGTCGTTCTTCACAAGAGCATCGAACTCTTCGACCATTGCTTGTCTCCAATGAGGCGATTTGAGGGCTTGGGAGACGGTGGTCGGTTCCACATCAGGTGTAGGTCCGGTTGTGGAAAGGTTGACAAATTTGGAACAAGGTTTATGGATGTTATTTTTGGATCTAGTCTTCATCGGGTGGTTGTTTCTTGTGGGACAAGGTATTGGTATATCTTCGGTTGGGGATGCGGTTTATGTTGTTTCAGGTTGTGTTGGTGTAGGTGGTAATGTTTGGAGTGGATTGGTATCTTGGTGAAGGTTTGATTCAGATGGTGATGGTGGCGGTGTTGGTAAGGAAGAGGACTGATGGTCATTTGTAGTTGTCGAAGGGAGCAAGGTAGGCGATGGTGATGAATCTGCGCGTAGGGGTAGGGACGGTGGTGATGGCGTAATGAGTGGAGCACTAGGAACCAGTGTGTGAGACGGTGAAAAGGATTGAGAGATAGACTCAGAGGTGAACGTTGAGTGAGGTGGTGACGAAAGTTTGTGAAATGGAAAAGATGACTCGAAGAATGTCACATGACGAGAGGAAAAGACACGACCGGAGGATGGATGAAGACACAAAAACGAGCTTTGAGTGGGCGAATAGCCGACAAAAACACAAGGTGAGGACCGTGGGTCGAGTTTATTGTGGTTGTATGGACGGAGCCATAGAAAACATAGGCAACCGAAAGTCCGTAGTTTCGTGTAGTTTGGCTTAAACCGAGAGAAGATAAGAGTGGAAGATACAGAGAGAAGACATCAAGAACTTGTGATTTTTGTTTAAGTGGGTAGAACCATGTATACCGAGTAAAATGATCAACAAAAATCACATAGTATTTGAAGCCATTAAACGATTCAATAGGTGAACTCCATACATCCGAAAAAATGAATTCAAGGGGACGAGAGAAGATAAGAGTGGAAGTGGAAAAAGGGAGTTTATGACTCTTATTAATAGAACATGGTTGACATAACAACTCTTTCGGAGAATTAGATGACAAGGGAAGAGAAAATTGACGAATGACTCGAGACAAGACTTCGGGTGATGGATGGCCTAACCTAGAGTGCCATTCAAGATACGTGGTTTTTATTGTAGAGAAAACAGAAGGTGAAGACGACACGGAACAAGAGATAGTGGACCACTCATACACGCCATCTCTAAGTTGTTTGGTTGTTAGAGCTGCCCCCGTTGCGAGATCCTTCACCTGAAAGTGAAAGGGGAAAAATTCAACAGAAACACGGTTAGAAGTGCATAACTGATGTATGGAGAAGGTTTTTCCGAAGATTAGGAACACAAAGAACATTGGTTAAGGAGAAAGGACGAGTGTGAAAGGGTAGAGATATAGAACCGATGTGGGAGATGTGTTGACCAGAACCGTCGCCAAGCTCTACATCCTCGCCGCCGGTGTATGGAGAGTGGAGAGCAAGGTTGTCCAAGTCCGATGTGATGTGATGCGAGGCACCCGAGTCAAGAAGCCATGTCGGAGACGAAGATGCTGGAGTCATGGTTGTGTGATGGGCTTTTGCTGGCCATGAAGGAGGAGACTGAGATCCCGATTGATGGTTGGAAGTGGAGTGCAAGAGATGGCAGTGATGAGCACTGTGCCCATGAGTGCCGCAAAGCTGACATTTGCCTTGATAGCCGGTTGTTTTACGTGGTCGACTTCCCTGAGTGTCAGTGGACAACCTAGGATGTTGCTGCCAGGACGGACGAGAAGAGTGATTGGAGGACTTAGATTGAGTGTTATGCGTTGTGATGGGAAGGACAGGCGGAGCAGCATCAACAGAGAGCACAGCATGGTTCAACAGCTTCTCGTGTAATTCCACAAAGGAGATGGGTAGATCCCTCGCGTTGATAACATCCTTGACCGGTTTGAAGTCATCACTCAATCCAGAGAGAATGAGATCAACTAGATCTTCATGATCTAGAGGCTTACCAAGAAGGGCCAACTCGCCGGCCTTAATCTTGAAGAAATGCATGTAATCATCAATGGTTTTGGTACTTTGGTGAAGCGTCACATATTGTCTTTGATTTGCTTGATATGGCCTCGACTTGATCGGCCGTATGTGGAGGCGAGAATAGCCCAGACAGCACTTGTTGATGCAGCGCATGCAATAAGCGCTTGGCACGAGACAGAAATCGAGCCAAGGAGGGCAGAGAAGATGACTTTGTCCTGCCGGAACTAGGCAGGGAATGCGGGATTCGGCTTCTCGGCATTATTCTCGGTGAGAGTTGCTGAGACATCACAACCCGGTTCGAGAAATTCAGTTTGTCGCAGATAATTTGGTGACGTTGGCAACATTGATGTTGATCAGAGGCGACGAATGATTAGTCGGATCATACAGAGTTACCGTATCAGTGGTTATAGGAGGGGAGCCTGTGGCAGGAGGAGAACCAGTGGATCGAGTTTCTTCAGTGGACATGTTCGGCGACGTTGGTGTCGAAGGAAGAAGAAGATGAGATGTTGTCGTTTAGACGGCAGGCTCTTCTGATACCATATATTGTAGGGTTTGAATATGTATTCAATTGATTACCATCAATAGTACATAGTGTATATATACATGTAGAAGCGAGAGTAATATGTTAACTGAATCACATAATACAAGGATAATATTAGTAGTTGATATAATCAGGGATATGATTGAGATATCCTTCCTTTAGATGTCATATTCGCAGGAAATCAACAAGAAATCCGAGAAAGATGGAAAAATGAAGAAAAAAACCCAGGATCTTGGCACAGAGGCTCTGATACCATTTTAGGGAAAATGGATTTCGAGATTCTGTTCTCCGAGATAGATAGCAAAAAGAATTTTGAATTTTTGTATATTTTACAAAAATGATTCGTACATGTTGTTATATATATATATATATATATATAAAGAATGGTGAGAATTGGAATAGAAAAACGAAAAGTAGAAACCGTGTAACAACCTTCCAAAATAATTCAATTCCCTCGCAAAATTCAGATCAGTAATATAATCTGTAACAATGTATATGTAACTTTTCCACACATATATATATATATATATAGTTTACATGTTGATGTAAATAACTTGTTACATGAACATACTGCACACATAAGATCTCTACTACAATTGGGAATTGTGTTGTCTCTCGAAGTTCAGGCCAATTAATGCCAATTTTAAAATAGACAACAGGCCCAATTTGATTCTCTTCGCGCTCTGATATGCGTGCAAGTGTAATTATATATATACACACGCACACAAAAGCGAGAGTGCAGAATGTCACCTTTCTTCTTCTGGAAGCCAAAAATCTTGCAAGTGAACATTACAGTTACGGGACGAAGAAACAAAGCGTAGAGACGGAGAGAGTGGGAGTGAGGGGGGAAGGCCATGGGTCAGGGGCCATCGCGGCAAGGAGATCGCAAGCCTGACGGCGGCGACAAGAAGGAGAGGAAGTTCCAGCCGCCGGCGCGCGTGGGGAGGAAGCAGCGGAAGCTGAAGGGACCGGAGGCGGCGGCACGGCTGCCTACAGTGACTCCGTCGGCGAAATGCATGTTACGATTTCTGAAGCTTGAGCGGATCATTGAGTATCTGTTGATGGAGGAGGATTTCATCGAAAGCCAGGAGAGGTTGAAGCCTCAGGAGGAGAAGGCCGAGGAAGATAGATCTAAGGTCGACGATATCCGTGGGACGCCGATGGAAGTCGGGAAACTGAAAGAGCTGATCGATGAGAACCACGCGATCGTTTCTTCGTCGCATGATCGGGAATACTACGTCGGGATTTTGTCGTTTGTTGATAAAGATCAGCTCGAACCTGGTTGCTCGATTCTGATGCACAGCAAGGTATGTGAATTACGGTTTTTCTGGAGGTTAAACTGAGCCTGTTTTTACTTGTGTGGTGGTTCGCGTGCTACACTCTTGTTGCGATTAGGTTTCATGTCAGTATGGTTTAGAGTCTATCTCCATGTTTAGGTTTAGAGTCTATCTCCATGTTTATCTGCTAGTAGTTTCGGATGAAGCTAGCGCATGAAAATCCTCGGTTTGGATTGCTGAATCGAGATATCCGCTGGGTGTTTTTTTGTCGAGTGTGTGCCTGATTTGGAAAGAGGGAACTCGATGCTCCAGTTGCTGAGTGGAAAGATAGAATCCTCGAGCAATCTTTATGATTTCAGTTTCTCTTGTCTTTTCGATGTGGATTAGACCAACACGCCATTGAGATTGCTTCATGTTCCGCTGTTTTCTTTTCCACGGTTGTGTTATTGTTTGAGGAGACATTAGCTTTTTGTACTGAGAGGGTATTGTTGTACTCCCTGTGTTGCTCTGGAAGGTGCGCTCTGTTGTTGGAATTCTTCAAGATGAAGTCGATCCAATGGTGTCAATGATGAAGGTTGTGAAGGCTCCTTCAGAGTCATATGCCGACATTGGAGGTTTAGAAGATCAGATTCAAGAGATCAAAGAAGCTGTCGAACTCCCTCTAACTCGCCCTGAGTTATATGAAGATATTGGTATTAAGCCACCCAAGGGTGTGATCTTGTATGGTGAGCCAGGCACTGGGAAGACATTGCTTGCCAAGGTTTGTGTTTAACTTATTATCTTTATTGGGATTTATGACCAGTAAATGTTGAGCGAACTGATCTTCATGTTCATGTTGTATTTACCTCGTTATGACTCCTTTGCGTTTTTAACGAAACTTTGTGGAATTGGATCCTGAATCTGTTATGCATTTGTCTTTTGCTGACAATAAGGGGATTGATCCAATAGCTAGACCAGTTGTTTTGTTGTGTTGATCATCTTCACGGAAATTAGATAATCAACAGTCTCGGAGATCTATATGTCGATTCTGCGGAAGCCGTCGTTCTTTGGAGATTTTTTTTGTCCTGAACACGGAGGCTTTTTCAATTCAGTTGCTGATTGCATTCTTGGCAAATGCTGTTTTGGGCACCATTTTATACTTTCAGGCAGTGGCGAATTCTACATCAGCTACGTTCTTCCGTGTGGTGGGTAGTGAGTTGATTCAGAAACATTCGGGAGATGGACCCAAGCTTGTGAGGGAGCTTTTCAGGGTTGCCGATGACCTTTCACCTTCGATTGTCTTCATAGACGAGATCGACGCTATCGGTACCAAGCGGTAAAATCTAATGCCCGAGCAAGAAAATTCCCATTGGCAGTACAGGGTTGCTGATCAATTATTAATCGGTGATTGAATTGAAACAGGTACGATGCACACTCGGGCGGTGAACGTGAAATCCAAAGAACCATGTTGGAGTTACTGAACCAGCTTGATGGGTTTGATTCGAGAGGGGATGTTAAGGTGATACTTGCGACAAACAGAATAGAAAGTCTGGACCCGGCATTGCTCCGACCTGGCCGTATTGACCGGAAAATCAGGTTTCCTCTTCCGGACATCAAAACAAGAAGACGTATCTTCCAGGTAAACATACTGTAGTGGAAAAAAAAAATAAATGAATTCAAAAAAAAAAAAAAAGCCGTTTAGCTTATATGTATACAAATATAGATACACACATCGAAGATGACAATGGCGGAGGATGTGAACCTGGAAGAGTTCGTGATGACAAAGGACGAGTTCTCAGGAGCAGACATAAAGGCCATATGCACTGAGGCTGGTCTGCTTGCCCTCAGAGACCGCCGTATGAAGGTTATAAGTTAAACTCTTGAATGATTACCAAAAGGAAGCCATTTTTTTATTATAACACAAGGGAGGGGGGGGCAATGATCAATCTATCAGGTGACGCATGGGGACTTCAAGAAGGCAAAGGAGAAGGTTATGTTCAAGAAGAAGGAAGGCGTCCATGAAGGCCTTTACATGTAGATGTAAGTAACACAGCCAAACTCATCACTGCCACTCTCTCTCTCTACTCGTACATATTCTGTTCATCTCATTCCTG